TTGCGGATATTAAAGAATCCTTGCATTCCTGGGATAAAGCCCACTTGGTCATGGTGTATGATTTTTTTAATATGTTGTTGGATTCTGTTTGCTAGAATTTTGTTAAGGATTTTTGCATCTATGTTCATCAGTGATATTGGCCTGTAGTTTTCTTTTTTTTATGGCATCTTTGTCTAGTTTTGGTAGAAGGGTGATGGTGGTGGCCTTGTAGAATGGTTTGGGGAGTTTTCCTTCCTCTGCAATTTTTTGGTAGCTCTTCTCTAAATTTTTGGTATAATTCACCTGTGAAGCCATCTGGTCCTGGGCTTTGTGGGTTGGAAGATTTTAGATTACAGTTTTGATTTCTGTGCTTGTGATTGCTCTGTTCAAATTTTCTATTTCTTCCTGGTTCAGTTTTGGAAGGTTATACTTTTCTAAAAATTTGTCCATTTCTCCCAAGTTATATATATGGAATTCTACTACATATTAGGTCAGACAGACATGAAAAGATATATAGCACATGCTTTCCAACAGGAAAAAAAAATAAAGCATATTCTTCTCAGGCACATATGGAACATTATGCAGGGTAAATTATATCTTAGCCCACAAACAAGTCTTAATTAAGTTAAGAAGACCAAAATCATATTAAGCCCAATCACAACAAAACAAAACTCAAAATCAATTGGGAATTCCCTGGCAGTCCAGTAGTTAGGACTCTGCACTCTCAGTGCTGAGGGCCTGGGTTCAACTGCTGGTTTGAGAAATAAGATCCTACAAGTTGTATGGTGTGGCCAGAAAAGAAAAGTTGAAATCAATTAGGAAAACTGGAAAATTCACAAATCTGTGGAGATTACACAACATGTTCCTGAACAACCAATGAGTAAAAGAGAAATAAAAAAATATCTTGTGAGAAGTGAAAATGGAAATACAACATACCAAAACTGATGACATGCAGCAAAATCAGTTCTAAGAGGGAAGTTTATAATAATAAAGGTCTACATGAAGAAAAAAGAAATCTCAAATAAACAACCCAATTTTACATCTCAAGGAACTAGAAAAATAAGAATAAATGAGCCTAGAGTTAGCAGAAGGTAGGAAATAACAAAAATCAGACAGCCATAAATAAAATGGAGACTAAAAAGATAAAAAGATCCATGAAATTTATAGTTTATTTTTTTAAAAAGAACAAATAAACTGTTAAGATTTTCTAAAAAAAATTTGGAGAAATGACAAATGAAAGAGACATCACAAAAGATACATAAAAAAATATACAGGATCATAAGAGACTACTATGAACAATTATACACCAACAAATTGGACAACCAAGAACAAATGGAAAAAATTCCTAGAAAGATAAAACCTGCCAAGACTGAATCATGAAGAAATAAATAGAAAATCTGAACAGAGCAATTATGAGTGAGGAGAGTGCATCAATACTCAAAAACCTCCCCAGAAAGAAAATCCCAGGATCAGATGGCTTCAATGATGAAGTCTGACAACCATTTAAAGAATAAATAATGGCAATTATTTTCAAACTCTTCCCAAATTAAGAGGAGGGAACAATTCCAAATTCATTTTATAAGGTCAGCATTATCCTAAATACCAAAGTCAGAGAAAGAACTTTTAAAAAAAGAAAACTATAGGTCAATATCCCTGATGAACTTAGAAGCAAAAGTCCTCAATAAAATGTATCAGGAAATCAAATTCAATAATACATTAAAAGACTCATACATAAATCATGATCACCTTGCACCTCTGTTCAACATATTCAAATCAATCAATGTGATTTACCACATTAACAAAATGAAGGATAAAAATCATATAATCACCTCAATAGATGCAGAAAAACATTTAACAAAATTCATCATCCATTCATTCAACTCTCAACAAATCAGGTAAAGAGAAAATGCACTCTTGCATAATAAAAGCTATATACAACAAGCCCACAGCTAACCATGAAATATCAAAAGCTTTTCTTCTAAGATAAGGAACAAAGCAAAAATGCCCACTCTCACCATGGTACTGGCTTAAGCAATAAAAGGAAAGAAATAAAAGTCACCCAAATAAGAAAGGAAAAAGTAAATTTTCTCTATTTGCAATAGACAAGACATCATATAGAATCCGTAAAAATACCACCAGCTGCATTTCTATACACTAACAATGAAACATCAGGAACAGAAATCAAGAAAACAATTTCAAACAAATTAACCAGGAAAGTGGAGGATCTGTATGCTAAAAACCATTAAGACACTGTACTCTTGTTCAAATAAGTATTATTCACATAAGCAAAGTCTGAACACTATCTGACCATTGACAGATGAATGGATAAGAAAAATGCAGATAGATATAAAGAAAAGCTATGACAATCCTAGGAAGCATATTAAAAAGCAGAGATAATACTTTGCCAACAAAGGTCTGTCTAACCAAAGCTATGGTTTTACCAGTAGTCATGTATGGATGTGAGAGTTGGACCATAAAGACAGCTGAGCACCGAAGAACTGCTGCTTTTGAACTGTGGAGTTGAAGAAGATTCTTGAGAGTCCCTTGGACTAGTCCATCCTAAAGGAAATCAGTCCTGAATATTCACTGGAAGGACTCATGCTGAAGCTGAAGCTCAATACTTTGGCTACCTGATGCAAAGAACTGACTCCCTAATGCTGGGAAAGATTGAGGGCAGGAGGAGAAGGGGACAATAGAGGATGAGATGGTTGGCTGGCATCACCGACTCGATGGACATGAGTTTGAGCAAGCTCTGGGAGCTGGTGATGGACAGGGAAGCCTGGCATGCTGCAGTCCATTAGGTCGCAAAGAGTTGGACATGACTGAGCAACTGAATGAAACTGATACAATGGAATACTATTCAGCATTTAAAAAGAGGAAATCCTTTCATTTGCAACAACATGGATGAAACTGGAGGGCATTATGTTAAGTGAGAACAAAGAGAAATACTGCTTGGTGTCATTTACATGTGAAATGTAAAAAAAAAAAAAAAAATTGAGACAACTCATAGAAACAGAGAGTAGCAAAGTAGTTGCCAGGGGGTGGGAGGCAGGCAGAGGAGGCAAGAGGGAGAGGTAAAAATAATACAAACTTTCAGTTGTTAAGATAAATAAGGTCTGAGGAAGTAACGGATAATATGGCGACTATACTAGATGATGCTGGATTGTGTAACTGAAATTTACTAGAAGAGCAGAACTGAAAAATGTTTCCCAACACACATACACAGAAGTAAATATGTGATGTGATGTATGGACATGTTAATAACTCAATGGGGGAAATCCTTTCACAGTGTATACATACATACACCAAATCATCACACGGTATACTTTAAATATCTTACAATTATATTTGTGAATTTTACCTCCATAAAGAGGTAACACCAACAATGAAACATGAGGAACAGAAATTAAAAGTACATAAAATAAAAGGAAGCTTCTAAACATCAATGACAACTTTATTCATATTTATTTAATAAATAAATATATTTATAACTATTTCCACTATTGTTTAAGTGTTTTGAAGTGTAGAGAATGCAGGTAATCACTATCTCAGTTATCATATTATATAAAAATATAGTTCTAATTAGTGTTTTACTACACTTAAAACTACTAAGTTGATACATACAACAGAGCCTGGCAATAAATTAACAAATCTGATGTCAATGTCTACCAACAAAAACCATGAAGATTCTATAAAATGGGACTATTTCTAACTATATGTATCAAACTATAAAATGATAAACTCTAGTATTATGATTAAGAAATATGATATCAAATTATGTCTGAGCCTGTATCTGATCAAAATTTACATATATTGAATTTTAGGAGCAAAAGATTACCTACTTAGAAAATTACCTGTCACATGTAAATTTTCAGAGTGATACTAAATTAGCTGTTTCTAGTACATGTAACTAGAAGTTATTGGAAAGCCATTTGATGTGTACAGATTATCAACAAAATAAAATTTCTTTTGAAGTATGAATTTTGGCTCCAAGCATTCTTAATTTATATATTATCTGATATATGCTTACTTCTGAGTTAAAAGTAAATCATTAAGGTTACGAAAATAGCATTTCAAATATAAGGGTAGTTCACTAAAATTTTATCCAAATCCAAATACCAATGTTAAAAGAATCAAGAATATTATCACATTTTGGAACATATATTAGATATGCGAAGTTATTTATATAAATTCTAAAAATGCTTTTGACTGTCAAAATCTTTATGCCTTTCCTCTTACTTAACTATGAAGTCTAACAGTATACTACCATATAACAAAAGGATAAAACAAGTGTGTCTTACCTAGTTACTTTGCAGCTCGATTCAATCAAGTCATTCTCAAAGTCAAGCAGGCTGGAAGGCAGATTATATTCCAGTGGGGATGTCAGTCTTTTCAAACGCAACAGACCAACACAAAATTTTGCTCCCATCTCTTCCAATTCTCGAGTACCAATCTGTAAACCCTAGACGTAAAGCAATAATAAACATGTAACTAGGACATTTGCTATCCTATGGCTATATTTCATTAAAATTACACAAAAGGAATTTGAAGCTATATTAATAAAAATCCGTTACTTTGTATGAACCTACAACTCATAAGCACAGTGTCTTAACAATATAAGATTATTTTAAGTCAAAAAGGAAACCATCTTAAAAAAATTTTCTAAAATGTCTATTCTCATTTACTGTGTGTAAAATATTTTCACCAACACAGTGAGAAGGGGGATAAAAAGCAGATAACTATCTTGAAGGTAAGTTATTCTTGGAGCTCATGTGTAAAAGTATATTTTTACAAGATCTTGCTAGTACTTGTAATCAACTACTCGGATGCCAACATTGAAATAGTATTACAATCAAGGCTCCAATCTGTATACTTGAGTATTAGTTTATACATACTTTTTCTACATGATAAATAGAAACCAGTGAGTAAAAAACAAACAAAAGAAAGGTGACTATGTCAAAAAAAAAAAAAAAAGAAGAATCAAACAAATCTTTTCTAAGCCAAATCAAATCTAAGCCAATGAGGTAGAAATAAAATAAACTCTTATGTTTCATGTCAGTTAAGAATGCCCATTTCAAATTTGGTCTATTAAAGCAAAAATAAAATTTTACCACAACACTTTTTAAACTAACAGTTTCCCCATAAACAGTATAAGGTTTAGCAAAAGTTAAACATTACCACATAAAGGATAAAAATTGACTACTGTAAATCAAGATACTGTTTATCATTTACTTTTCAGATAAAAGTGAAACTCTAAAGTAAATAAAATCCTTACACCAACAAAGACTGCAGGTGTACGTAAGAGTGGACTTGACTTTCAATGACCATCTAAAAGCATACAGCAACTGAAGAGATAAATTATAGAAACTGTTATTTACTCTATGAAGCACATGCCTTTAAAATAATGACTGACTGACAGTTTAAATAATCTGCCCACCTCCAAATACTACAGGAAATGTAACCTAACTAACTTTATTAGAAAATGCATTTGCCTTCTTAATCTAAGAGGTTTAGAAAGGCTATGTCTATTCCTGAATTAGCTCATCAAAAAAAAAGAATATTGGAAACATAAAATTCAGTAATATAAGAACATTCTTGAGGGTGAAAAGATTTGTTTTCTTAAAATATTATTATACTCACACAACTTATTAGCTAATATTAACAAGTTTGAAAAGTATACATTATGTGGTGGGAGGGGAGGGTAGGGGTATATAGGAATTCTGTATTTTGCACTCAGTTTTTCTAAAGTTGCTCTTTAAAAAGTCTGCTAGTTAAAAAAATTCAAAAGAAGTATATGTTATGATAAAAGGATTGAATTTTAGATGTAAAACACTTACTTTTAGCAGTAAGACTTCTCTCTTTAAGAGTTGTATTAAATCAATGTAACTCTATCAGTGTAAATCACATAAAGTATATCAATATAAATCATATAAAAGAGAAATGACTGTTCATTGTGTGCCCAGTCACTCAGTCATATCAGACTCTTGGCAACCCCATGGCTCCTCTGTCCATGAGATTTATTTTCATGCAAGAATACTGGAGTGTTGCCATTTCCTTCTCTAGGGGATCTTCCCGACCTAGGAATCAAACTCATGTCTCCTGCGTCTCCTATATTGGCAGGCAGATTCTTACCACTGAGCCACCTGGGGAGTCAACTATTTGTTATGTGTCCATTTTATTTTTAAGTTAAAATTAACAGTTTTTACAAAACTTGTCTAACATTTTACGTTTCAAAATACATTTTAGATATTTTATGTTTTTTCAACGACCAAATAACATTTATCAAAGCAAAAACGGAACATTTAAAATAACCCAATGAAAGTCTGTAGGTAGAATACAAATCTAATAAGAAAATACTGCTGTTATTACGCCATAGATTTCAAGGGGCATTCAAGTTTCAGCTTCCCTGACATCCTCTCTCCCTACCCCCAGAAACTAGTTTCACAGACACTGATGCTTTTAGTTTCTTTTTCCAACCTGACTGCATAGAGTATCGCTTTAATAAAAAATAATTTACAGTCTGTTTCCCTAAATCATAAAGTAAAAGATTTCCCCTCCCCCCATGGTCATTTACAAAAGTGACTGTCAAGCTTTTCCCATCCCATACATATACAGTCCACTAAGGCAATGACCTGAGGCACAATTCGCGGGCTGCGGTACTCAAGCTCCTCTCACCACAACCATGACTTTGGGAGTCTAGAAGTCACCACTTTACAATATTTGGAGAGATTTGAAAAGATAGCACATTCTGAAAGAATAGTATTCTGAGGTCAACCTAAAGTCACTAGGGAAAAGTCACTCTCCACAAAGTACTGGAATTTCACCAAGTTCTACCCATCCAGAGCCTCAAAGTTTGAACATCAGTTGTAAAATTTATACCTTTTTTTTTTTTTTGCTAGTTTGTTACAGAATGGAAAAGTCACAAAGCTCTCCACTTAAAAGATTCTGGCACCAACCATAATATGTTTACATTTTTAATACTAACCACCTGGAAGATTTTTAGCTCCTTCTAAACATAAAGCTTTGATTGAGGAGCCAAGATGGCGGAGGAATAGGACGGGGAGACCACTTTCTCTCCTACAAATTCATTGAAAGAACATTTGAACGCTGGGCAGGTTTCACAAAACAACTTCTGATCGCTAGCAGAGGACAGCAGGCGCCCAGAAAAGCAGCCCATTGTCTTCGAAGGGAGGTAGGACAAAATATAAAGGATAAAAAGGGAGTCAAAAGAGCTACGGACGGAGACCCGTCCCGGGAAGGGAGTCTTAATAGAGGAAGTTTCCAATCACCAGGAAACCCTCGCACTGGCGGGACTGGGGGAAGTTTTCGGCACTCTAACTGGGAGGAAAAATTAAACAAGGCCCACAGATTACGTGCCTNCTCTGTGGGAGAAGGCGAGGGTGGGATGTTTCAAGAGAACAGCATCGAAACATGTATATTATCTATGGTGAAACAGATCACCAGCCCAGGTTGGATGCATGAGACAAGTGCTCGAGCCTGGTGCGCTGGGAAGACCCAGAGGGATTGGGTAGAGAGGGAGGTGGGAGAGGGGACTGGGACGGGGAATACATGTAAATCCATGGCTGATACATGTCAATATATGACAACACTCACTGCGGTATTGTAAAGTGATTAGCCTCCAACAAATAAAAATAAATGAAAAAAAATAATAAAAATAAAAAAATAAGCTGGGTGACAATAAAAAATAATAAAAGATAAAAAATTTAAAAAAAGAGACTGTTCTTAAGACTGCATATGATTCAATCCCATTATTGTGAATTACATATAACTCAGTATAACAAACATATCACTTAATATATACTTGAAAACTACTAGAGTATATATGAAAGGACAGTCTTGAAATATGTCTATGGCTAGAGATCCTGAGATGTTTTACCTTATATTTTCCCTGGTCACAGCCACACAAAGTCGTCTCCATGGTATAGCTTCTTTGCACCCCTATCTCTCTCCAAACTACAACACGAGCCGTAGATTCTTTAGATTTTTCCACTACGAAGCTACAGCTGCTCATGCAAAATGCTGGGGCGATATGGCTTAGAATCTTAGGCAAAGTCTGCAAAGATAAAAACGATGAAATATTTCAAGAGCTTTCTTTTTTTGTCATTAATTTCTTTTAATTTCTAAAAAAAAATTTTTTAATGAAAACACAGTCATTATAGCAGTCATGTGGCTCTTCTTCTTACATCCCCTGCTGCCCAAGACACCAAAGTGATCCTTTTACTAGGTCAGATTTCTCTGCTTTCCCTAACAGTCATCAGGAAATAGAATGAAAAAGTAATATTCATAGTAATAACCAGTAAGTGAAATAAAACTATGTAAGAAGACCATGTTTTAAAGTATTAAGAAAAACATATTTTAAAATGAATGTGTCATGAAGATGTTTTGACTTGAGTCATAAAAGTTAATCATCCCTAAATTAATCAATAAAGCTAAGATAATCACAATCTAAATGCCCACATTTTTGCAACTTAAAATTATTCTCAAATTCACCTGAAAATAAAATATAGAATTCCCTGGAGAATTCTGAATCAAAGGCTATGAGTAGAGAAATGATCCAACAGATAAACATACATCAAACAGAAGTCAAATGGTGATACTGGTGTAGGAATAACACATCTTTAGAAAGAGAGTTCAGCATTAAAATCAAAGGTATTTGTTAAAGTTAGTACTATTACTAGTTAGGAAGATTGACCATTCACAAAATGCTGAGACAACTGCTTGGTCACTGACAAAAACTAGCTAAAGGCACTTTCTATCAAATTAAACTCTGAGATTGAGAATTTAAGTTTTAAATCAGTAAGTTAAAATTTTAAATGAAACTAAAAGCTCTAAAGTAAATATGGAGCTCTACTTTTAAAATCTTAGAAAAATCTATCTAAGCCTCAAAAGAAGAAACTACTTTATAAAAATCAACAAATACAACAGAAGTTTTAAACTACTGCACATCATTAAAAAAAATGTAATATAATACACATGAAGAGTATTTTCAAAACAATAATTAGGTGACTTATACAAAGCAAAGAGAGACTATGAAAAAAGCCATTTTTAAAAAATAGAGATCATATATGGATCAAGCATAGGATCAAAAATAGGGATCAAACACAGAAAAAAATACTTGAGCGCATATATTTATAATTACAGATACACAAACTAAAACCATCAGATATGTTTTCACCTGGCAAAGGTGACTGTAAGATGTTTAGAGAAACAGCACTATNAATAGAGATCATAAATGGATCAAGCATAGGATCAAAAATAGGGATCAAACACAGAAAAAGATACTTGAGCACATATATTTATAATTACAGATACACAAACTAAAACCATCAGATATGTTTTCACCTGGCAAAGGTGACTGTAAGATGTTTAGAGAAACAGCACTATCAATCATTGGGGAGTGCTGATTTGTACAATCTTTATGAAAGACAATTTGGCAATACTAACAAAGTGGCCACAACAAGGGAAACTGAATAAATAAATTATGCTGTATCCATACAATAACAACAAAAATACACAAGAAAACCTTGTGCAATTGTCAAAAAGAGACAGACAGATATAAACATGAAAAGATGGCCATCAAACATTATGTGAAAAAAAATTGCCATGGAGTGTGAAAAAATATTAAACTTCATATACTATGTTTACATACACCTATGAGTGAATGTGCTTATAGGCAAGTTTCACAATACACATTGTGAAAGTGATTAATTAGTGACTGAGAGAAGATAACTTTTACTTACTACTTTATATTTGTGGAGTGTTTCTACTTTTAATATGACACTATTCATTTATTTTGGAAAGGAGAAGAAGAGAGAGGTTACCAAAAAGAAAAAGTGCTTTGAAGTTCTGCTAAGGGTAGTGGTATGTTACTGAAACCTGTTTTGGAAAATAATCTGGGGTGCTGATTTAGGCATAAATATAGTAGGAGAGACGCTGGGACAGAATGAAAAGCAGACAAGATGCAAAGTAAAGATCTCACTTCAATCCTAGGCATACTTCAAAACACACCCATACATGGGAAACAAGGTATATAACAGATGGCTTTATAAAATCGGCAGAGGAAAGAGGTACTGTTTAATAAATGGCGCTGACACAACTGGTTACACATGGGGAAACAAAAATTATACCCTTCCATCTCATACAAAACTAAATTCCAAACAGAATAAAAATCTAAGTGTGAAAAAGCACTTGTGAAAAGTGTTCAGTTTTTCACTGCTGAGTATGATATTAGCGTGAGTTTGTCATAAACAGCCTTTATTATGTTGAGATATGTTCTCTCTATGCCAGCTTTGATGAGAATCTTTAACATGAATGGATGAATTTTGTCAAATGCTTTTTTCTGCATCTATTGAGATGATGATGTGATTTTTACCCTTCCTTTTCTTAATGTGGTATATTACAATGACTGATTTGTGGATTCTGGACCCTTCTTACAACCTTAGAATAAATCCCACTTGATCATGGTATATGATTCTTTTCATATATTCTTGGATTCAGTTTGTTAATTTTTTTTTGAGGATTTTTGCATCTACATTCATCAGAGATATTGGCCTATAATCTCTTCTGCAGTGTCTTTGGATTTCAGTATCAGGGCAATGTTGGTTGGCCTCACAGGATGAATTTAGGTATTCTCTCCTCTTCAGTGTTTTGAAAGAGTTTGAGAAAGATATATAATACCTCTTCTATGTCTGTCTGGTAGAATTCCCCCATGAAGTCATCAAGCCCTGGACTTCTGTTTGCTAGGTGTTTTTTGATTACTGATTCAATTTTACTACTGTTGATCATTCTGTTCAGGTTATTTATTTCTTCCTGATTCAGTTCTGGAAGACTGTATATTTCTAGGAATTTATCCATTTCTCTAGGTCTTCCAATTTTGGTGGCATAAAACTGTTCATAGTTTTCTCATGATTTTTTTATATCTCTATGATATAGGTTGACATTTCTCCTCTTTATTTTGTTTACTGGTATCTCTTCTTAATAAGCCTGGCAATTTTCTTTTTTTTACAAAAACAAATCAACTCTTGGCTTCACTGACATTTTCTATTTGAAGGATATGTGGCAGGGTCTCAATTTTATTTCTGCTCTTTATTATTTCCTTTCTTTTGCTGACTTTGATCTTTCTTCTTGTAAGTAATGTGGATGGCAGGTTAGGCTGTTTATTTGGAATTTTTCTTGTAAAGGATAAAGATCAAACTACAAAAATCTGTTGCTTTTCTATACACTAAAAAACTCATTTAGTTCAGGAATCCAAAGCTAATTACATTCTAGATCTAATTTTAAAAAATCTAGGAATAAACTGAAAGACCTATACTCTGACAATCAGAACACTGATGAAGGCAACTGAAGATGATACTAAAGAATGGAAAGACATCCCTGTTCATGAATTGGAAGAATTAATATTGCTAAACTATCCATACTACTCAAAGCAATCTACAGATTTAATGCAATCATTATCAAAATACCCAGAATACATAGGGTATTTTCCACAGAAGTGCAACAAATAATCCTAAAATTTATATGGAATCTCAAAAGACATAAAAGCAATCTTGAGGGGGGAAAAAAAGCTGAGGGTATCACTGACTTCCTGACTTCAGACTACACTACAAAGCTATAGTAATCAAAACAGGATAGTACTGGCACAAAAAAATAAACATACAGATCAGCAGAACGGAACAGAGAGCCCAGAAATAAAGCACCAACATATGGTCAATTAATCTTTGATACAGGAAGCAAAAATATACAATAGGGAAAAGACAGTCTCTTCAATAACGGGTGCTGGAAAAACTGGTTAGCTACATGTAAAAGAATGAAATTAAAACATTTCCTCACGTCATGTATAAAAATAAACTAAAAATGATTCAAAGACCTAAATTTAAGATTGGATACAATAAAACTCGCAAGGATAGGCTGATTCTGACAGGCGCTTTGCTCTCTGTTTAATTTACCAGGCTGATTAACCTCCGAGAAGTTAAGTGATAATTCCAGTTTTCTAAAAACATGAAAAAGGAAAATTATAAGAAAAATCCAGCTTCTTGTATTTCTCTTACTTGAGATATTAATAGTTTTATCTGTTGAGTATAAAGATAATAGGATGATCATTGTCAATGATTTAGTCTCTTCCTTCTCTACCCCTTTTTGAACATGGTCACTGGAACTATCACCTGACTTTTCTAGTTATCTTTTAAAAAAAGTTGGTCAACAAGAGGAACAGACTGCAAATCGAAGGGCTTAAACTTTCACCATTGTTGGAATAAATGACTCAAAGCACCTGCCCTATTATTAGTGACTTAGTTTAGAGTATTTGTTTTACTGTTCTTCAGGAATTCTTTGTTTTACTGTTAATAAATAATTTTAAACTTTAATTTAGCAAAGAGGAGGTGAAGTTTCTTCGTAGGCTTTTCATTTTGTTCAGCGCACTATAAGCTTACTCCTACTACTGTCTCCTCATGGAGAGAAGCTAAGTTACCTTGCTGAAATTTGAACAATAAAAGTATAAAATAATCAGTTCAGTTCAGTTTAGTCACTCAGTCATGTCTGACTCTTTGTGACCCCATGAACAGCAGCACACCAGGCCTCCCTGTCCATCACCAACTCCTGGAGCCTATTCAAACTCATGTCCATCACGCTGGTGATGCCATCCAACCATCT